ATATTCTGCTTCTTTTAATATTCCCCAAAATATTTCATTCTTCTAGGAGGGTGGGTGGGTGGGTGCTGACTTTCTTCACAAGCTAACAAAAAACAACTAATTAAGGAATCACCAAGAACATTCCCATCAACACCGACAGGGTAAGCCACAGTATATAAAATGAGTCCCTTCTAACACTGAAGATGTTACTTAGTTGAGTCATGAAACACCAAAAAAACCACCAAGCTGAATGGTTTTTTTTCCGTGCCTTTAGAACTTTGAAAGATCACTAAACAAACTGTTGTAAGTCGAGGACTACCTGTAACTGGTGCAAGCCAGTTAAAATGAGATACAACTTAGAAGTAAAGAGAAATTAATCAATAATTAACTAATGGAATAGCTTTCCTCTTGGAATTGTGGGTGCTCCATCACTGGAGGTTTTCAAAAATAGACTGGACAACCATTTGACCGGGATAGCAATAGCACTTAGACTTATATATCGCTTCACAGTGCTTTATAGCCCTCTCTAAGCGGTTGACAGATTCAGCGTCTTGCCCCCAACGATCTGGGTCCTTATTTTACTGATCTTGGAAGGACAGAAGACTGAGTCAACCTTGAGCCGGGTGATATTCGAACTCTCAAATTGCAGGCAGTTCACAATCAGCAGAATTAATTGCAGTACTGCATTCTAACCACTCCGCCACCATGGCTCATACGGTATAAGTTCTCCTGCTTTGAACAGGGATTGGACTAGAAGACCTCTGAGGTCCCTTCTGGAGTTATGATTCTATGTCCCACACAAAGTGATTCCTTATACAGGTAGTCTTCAACTTACAACCATTCATTTACTGACTGTTCAAAGTTACAAGGGCACTGAAAAAAGTAACATGGCTATTTTTCACACCATTGTAGCATCCCCAGAGATATGTGGTCAAAATTCAGACGCATGGCAACGAACTCGTTTATGCAGTGTCCCGGGGCCATGTGATCCCCTTTTGCAACCTTTTGATAAACAAAGTCAATGGGAAAGCCAGATTCACTTAACAACCAGGTCACTAACTGAACAAATGCAGGGATTCACCTAACAACTGTGGCAAGCAAGGTCATAAAATAGGGCAAAACTCATTTGACAAATGTCTCAATCACACAAATGTTGGGCTCGATTGTGGTTGTAAGTCGAGGACTTTCTGTATAGAATTGAGAAGAACCACCTAGAGTTGGTTTTTCTTTTTCATCTGAAATCCACACACGTTCTTACTAGCGTTGTCAACTTGTCTTCAGTTAATAAACAGGTTGGGGACCGCGAAGGGAGGCGCCCACCTTTACCGTCAAACTGCAGCAGCCTTGGCTCCGGAGAAGAGACCTGAGCAAGCGATCACAATAGAAGGTAGGGCCTTTTGTTCTGCTCTCTCTCACAATGGGGTTAATTCAGGATGACTAATTGTGGCTAATTAAGGACTGAATGGCTGCATTCAGAATTAAGGACTGAATGGCTGCATTCTGCACTCAGAAGATGTGGCATTCCTGTTTGATGTTGGGACTGGGTTAGTGATTGTGTTTGCATTGTTGTTGTTTTGTGGTGGGAGAGATCCAGGTCTATGACTTCCTGCTCGAGCAGAGGTTTGGACTAGAAGATCTCCAAGATCCTGTTATTCTATGTTCTATCTAGACTGATTGCAGGTCTCCTCGGGGTGGTGTATCCACAGAAAAATCACCTAGTAAGACTACACAAGTTGAAAAGAACACTATCAGTTGTTCAGTACCCACAACAGTGGTGTGATCCAGATGAAGAACTTCTTATAATTATTCAAATTTTATTTTACGATCCCACAAATTTGCTCTCCTAGTCTTCCAGAGGTTAGCAATAACTAAGGTTCTTCTTCTGTTCAGATCTTAAATTGGATGAAATAGAATTTGTATATACAATATTTTTTATTTATATCCTGCCTTTATTATTTTTACAAATAATACTTTCTTCCTCAACAACAACCCTGTGAGGTGGGTTGAGTTGAGAGAGAGAGAGAGGGACTGAGCCAAGTTACTCAACCGGACCAAGAAGAAGGGCTTTCTCTCGGTGGCTCCTCCCTGTTACTTGAAGAACCATCTTTTCCCAGTTACGTGCACCTGAACTACTGGAGTGGAGAGCTGGAGATGCTATGGGCTCCCTCTCTTGAGGAGGTCCATCAAGTGAGACCCAGAAGAAGGGCCTTCTCCATGGTGGCTCCATCCCTGTTATTTGAAAGACTGTCTTTTCCCAACTACATTCACTCACCCCACTGGAGCAATGAGGAAGGGGATATTACTGGTTCCTTATCTTAAAAGGATCCATTTGGTAGGAGCCAGAAGAAGGCCCTTCTCCATGGTGACTTCCTCCCATCTTCTCCCAGTCATATCCACCCAACCCACCAGAACAGGGAAGTGTTATGGGTCCCTTCTCTGAGGGAGGTCCATATGGTAGGACCTTCTCAATGGTGGCTCCCTCTCTGTGGAACATCATCCATGTGAAGATAGATACCAATAGATACAGATGATAACATCTACCAAGTCTTCTACTGAATTGAGAGTATCTTTTTTTTAGTGATTGTGAAATGCAGGTTGTATGACCTACTACACACAGTCTAATCATGCAGTGGATACAGTAGGTTCTTGAGTTTCTAGGTATTACTAATTCGGGGTGGGGGTTAGGATTTGCTTCTGCGACAAATGTGGAATTAAATTATTTGTGAAGGGTAAAGTATTCTTGATATTGTGAAATTGGGTGTTTGCAAAGGGTGGAGGGGACACCTGAATTGTGATATTGTCATGTACTTGACTTAAGCATGTACAGCAGAGGTTATGAAACAATGGCATCACAACGTGGCATCATTTGGACATTTTCAAGGTTTGTGTTGTGTGCCACTAGTGGGCGATTCACAGTTATCCTTGGCAAAGAGGAAGCGTGGTTTAAAAATAATTCCTTTCTTTTCAGCTGACAGTTTGTTAGAGGTCTCACACTGATATTTATTTGCACCCCACTATTATTCCTTTTATAAATAACTCAAGGCAGAGGACATATCTGATACATTTTCCTTCTCCGATTTCCCCAAACAACCCTGTGAGCTAGATTGGGCTAGAAAACAGCCTTTCATACCTAACACAGAACTAGAGCTCACTGTCTCCTAGTAAATGGTCGAAAGTCATCCAGCCTGCTTTCTTGGCTAAGGCGGGTCTAGAACTCACCATCTTCTGATGAGTGGCCCCAAATCCCCCATCTGGCTGTCATGGTTAATGTGGAACTAGAAAACGGTTCCTGGTGATTGATCCAAAACCACTTAGCAAGCTTTCATGCCTAAGGAGGAATTAGAACTCACAATCTTCTGCTTTCTATCTGGTGATCACTAGACCAACCTGACTATTTCAGATAAAATAATTCATTGTATTTAGGAAATTAATCTTTTTAACTGAGTCTGTTTTTGTAGTTTATGCTTGAACTGGACATTTGTCTGAAATCTTATAGGGTTTTCCGCTTGGGTTTGGACTAGAAAACCTCCAAGGTCCCTTCCAACTCTGATTCTGTTATTTTATGTGGCAAGTCTGATTCCTGAAAACATTATTTTTTTTCACTTGTAGTGACTAAACTGGAAATTTAAATTTATTTATTTATCTATATATACAGTATAAAAGTGAAATACCACTCAAGCATCATCACAAAATCTCCAGAACTATAAAGCCTACAAACCTGAAATTTGGCACGTATGTTCCTCTTGGCTTCTAGGGGCTCACTAAGAAAGGATTTTTCGAAACGACCATCGGAGCATTAGTATTTCCTGTATTATTCTTAACACAATCTGATGCTAAGGAGTTCTACTCCCCCTCCCCACCTGAAAAGAAATCTGTTCCAAATGCAAAACACAAGCAGAGGAGAGGAGTTTCAGTTTCAGAGCAGCAAGTAGCTTTAGTACAGAACAGTTGAGCTAAGCCACGCCCAGGCTCCTTGCTGTCTCCTCGCTCACACAGAAAATACTGCTTCAAGTTTCCATGTTTCAGTTTCCAAACAGTCCTCAATTCTCTCACACACTGATAGGATGCTAACCGGATGAATACAATGGATGCTGGTAGGCAGTGGCACAATTTTTTTCCCTTATTTTCTTCCCCAAAACTAACCGGATCACATAGTTTCATAGCAAAGCACGGGTATAGAGCTAGTATATTATACAAATTTAATTTAAATTTAAAATACAGTTCCTTGTAAATTTCTTATCCGTGTTTTAGAAAGATGCCTGCGTTCTTCTAATAATACTCTGTGATGGAATTAATTTAAAATTTCTTTTAAAAGTGACCTGTGGTTTTGTCAATTAAGAGATCAATAAATATTGGTGTAATTTGGATGCCTGTACCATGCAAATGGCATTTTGCTTTTGAAGGGGAAATGGACAGGAAAGATAATAAAGCCAGTTTGAATACCATCTTCTCTGCTTATTGAAGAATTTAATTTTGTTTTATTGCGTCTCATCGGCCTATATTATTTGAATTTTGCTAGCCTATCATATTAATTGCTAAAGGTTGGAGCAATCAAACTCCAGAGCTTTTAACCTGCTTTGCAATGCTCAATGAGGTTAAAATATCAGAAGCATCGTTTCTTTTTTTGAAAGGGTTCTAAAAATGTAAAAAATGGCTAGCACAATGCTAATTTTTTTTTGGTTATAATTCGGATTGAGTAAATCCTTAGATTCTCTGTTACAAGGCCACATAAACCTTTTATTTTTTTAAGAAAGCAAATGAGGTTAAAAAATTGCAGTGTGATAAAGTGAATTTTATTCCTCCTAGGACATGTGGAACACAGTTTTATTAAAGCAAGACTTACAAACTGGTTTATTTTAATGCACTTAAGAAATTCATAGAGAAGGAATGCAAATGCTCAGATTTCTTGCAATTCTGGAGCTGATTTGTTAAATGAAAAAGTTTGCTGAACTTTGTTTATTTGTGTCAGAAGCCTCACAATTAAAATAAGACATACTATATCTATATGACATAAAATTTAAAATATAAGATTAAAATACAGGTAGTCTTTGACTTATGACCACAATTGAGCCCATAATTTCTTTTGCTCAGTGAGACATTTGTTAAGTGAGTTTTGCCCCATTTTACGATCTTGCTTGCCACAGTTGTTAAGTGGATCACTGCTAATGTTAAGTGATTAACAGCTGTTAAGTGAATCTGGCTTCCCCATTGACTTTGCTTCTCAAAAGGTCACAAGCGGGGATCACATGACCCTGGGGCACTGCAACCGTCATAAATATGAGACAGTTGCCAAGAATCTGAATTTTGATCTGGTGGCTTTGGAAGTGCTGCAAGAGTCATAAATGTGACAAATGATTATAAGTCTGTAAACATTATTATAATATATTATAATAATATATTATTATATTTATAATATATTATTAGAAGTGTTGTAAACATTGATTACAAGCTCTGTAAAGGACCTTGGAATACTCATCTCCAATGATCTAAGTGCTAGAGGCTACTGTAATTACATAGCCAAAAGGCATTAAGAGTTGTTAACCTAATCCTGCGTAGCTTTTTCTCTGGTAATATCACACTAGTAACTGAAGCATACAAAACATTTGCTAACCAATACTCAAATACAGCTCATCAGTTTGGAACCCACATTACATAACTGATATTAGCACAGTTGAGAAAGTCCAGAAATATTTCACAAGAAGAGTTCTCCACTCCTCTACTCGTTGTAGAATACCTTATGCCACCAGACTCGAAATGCTAGACCTAGAAAATCTAGAACTACACCGCCTTCGGTCCAATCTAAGTATAGTATATAAAATCATACATTGCAATGTCCTACCTGTCAATGAATACTTCAGCTTCAACCATAAGAATACAAGAGCAAACAATAGATACAAACTCAAGGTTAACTGCATCAAACTTGATTGCAGGAAATACGACTTCAGCAACAGAGTCGACAACGTCTGGAATACTCTACCTGACTCTGTGGTTTCTTCCCCAAACTCCAAAAACTTTAACCTTAGACTGTCTACTATTGACCTCACCCCTTTTCTAAGAGGTCTGTAGGGGGCGTGCATAAGCGCACCAACGTGCCTACCGTCCCTGTGCTATTGTTTCTTTTATTTTTCTTATATGTACCCATTTCATGTATTCATAATTATGTACATATATACCTATTACCTTGTAAGCGATTGACAAATAAAATAAATAAAAATAAATAAATAAAAGTCACTTTTTCAGTGCCATTGTAACTTTGAGTGGTCGTTAAATAAACTGTTCTAAGTTAAGGACTATCTGTATATACAAATTAAATAGATCTTGCCCAAAAAATGTAGGGAATCAAAGCTTTTTTTTGGAGTTGATGGTTATACAATGTTTCATTCCTTT